CCTGGGGGGTGATTTCTCACTTTCTGTCTCTCTGTCTGGCGAGCGCACGTGCCCTATAGCAAAAACCTCTCCAAAAAAAAAACTCTCCAAAAAAAAAAATTAAGGTCAAACTTTGCCTTTGTCATCCTCATCTCATTATTCCACCGTAGAGTCAGAGCAGTGACACGTCCCTTATCTTTCACAGGTGAGGAAATGGAGATGGATTTATTTATTTACCTGGAAGCAATCTGGTAGTTAGTGCCTGAAAGCATTCAATCACCAGGTGTTCTGAAATAATTATAATAATGAAAGCAGCGACAACAGTTAACAGGTATTACGATTATTCCCCGAGTGTCGGGCTCCGCATTTTACCTGCATCATAATCTCCCATTCCCTCTGGCAACTAGTTAGTAGTTTCTATTGCTATACAAATAGGAGAGGAAACCGAGGCTCAGAGACGTTAAGTAACTTGTCCAAAGTAACTCAGGCTAGTCAGCTTCAAAGTCGAGACCGGGACCTCGACCTCCCTGCAAAGACGCCCTTGGAAAAACACTATTCGCAACCTGCAGTTCACAACCCCACCCAAGCCGGGCCTGCCTCGCTGTCGGTCTCCGGTCGAGCCATTGGTAATGTTTTGGCCAAGAATACAGGGGGCGCTGCCTGACATCATCAGTTCGGGTGAGTGGGTGGGTGGATGGGGGGGGTGAGTCCAGGGAGAAGGTGGGGGTCGAGGGTGGAAATCTGGGGGTTGGGGCGTGTGCGGGGGGTGGGGTATCTGGGGACCAGTGGGCGAGTCACGTGCGCATGAAACTCGACCTAGGGGGAGGAGAAGGGAAGGGAGCCCCCGCCCCCAGCTCCGGGCTCTGCTCCCGATGCGTGTAAATACAACCATCAACTAACTCTGCAGATCGACTCCGTCCATGTCCCGCTTCGCTCGCCTGGCCCCCAGCTCCCCAGCGTTTTCCCAGGGGCCACAGGAGGCGAGACCACAGCGCTGTCGGACCACAGCTCGGAAGCTGTCAGGATTCCGCGCGCAGAGACGACCCCCGCGTGGGAGCGGCTCTTGGG